ATTAAATAAAGTTTAATTACTATGAAAATTCCAATATGCTAACATTTTTATTTCATTACTACTTTGCCCGATAGATGGCACCACATTAGTTTTTGCATTGTTAATCCCATTCCGTTGTATGTAACATGGTTGTAACTTTTCTCAATGTTGCAAAATATTTTTGCTGAAAAAGAGAGAACTATGTCTGATCTTTCTCAAAACAGATATAATTTTAATAAAAAAACCAAGCATCCTAAGGTTGTTTTTTGCTAATTTTAAACTAAAGAGATTTTTAACTTTTCAATTGGATCATTATTTTTTTAATCAGAATAAAATTTTAGTTGATTATGATAAAACTTTTTGTTGTGACACAAATTTCTCATTTCAGTTTAACTTTCACTTCGCAGAAATATGAGTCAAGTCGCCACTGGGCTTACTTTCGACAAATCACTGGTTCTCAAACTACATACAACGGTATTCTGAGATTCCTCATAAGACTTCTAGGGGTTTCAGAAAAGAAAATAGAAATCTGAAAGAAATTTTTGATGCCATGTGGATCGTAAAACTGCCATCTAAAGTAATTAATTAAATAACATGTTTTTATATCTATTGTTACCTAAAATGATACGAAATGGGCCTGCGTTTACGAATAAATTTATAATAAAATAATAGTCTATTTTCTTTTTTTCATGTAAAGTGCATACAGTGTTGAATATATTAATACTTTCTTCACATTTCTTTGTCTAAAGATGGCTGAGATTCCACGAAACAAAATTATAATTTTTGTGCACTTTTTGAGTGGACAACGTTTGAAGACCACTGTTTTAAACTATCTGTGCAAGGGTTTTTCCGATAGGTTGATTTCAGAGAATTATTCAATCACATAGCCGCTTTGTTCGCCAGACAATATGTAATATTTAACCTGAACGAGCTGCTAATTTAAACTAATTTATATAATTTTTAATAAGCTATTTTTTCAGATTAATTATCGCCATTTCAATTATTCTTATCTTAGTATCTATATTGGAACTTCAAATGATACAAAAAATTAAAATTAAACAAAGTAGATTTACTATCCCAACTCTGATTTCCAGACTTTATAACTGAAACTCAAAACTGAAAAGTGATCTACAGAATTGAAAACTCACATTTGAGGGGCCTAAATTGAACGAAGTATTGAAGTTTAACAACTTATAAATAGAAATCATAAAGCAACTTTAGTTTCTAAAAGCGACTAATTCTCATTTGTTAATTCTAGTCTCATAAATCGGTCATCGCATAATCACGAAATTACCCGCGATTTCAAGTGATAGCTAAATATGATACCTAAAGAAAACTCCGATGTTGCCAGTTTATAAATCCGCAACTGCACATGCTGTTTATTAAAGTCATTCTAGTTTACACTCTGATTGAAAACCAACAGAGAACTGTAAATAGCAGAAAGCACTTAATGTAAAAGTAATTTTTTATCTAAATAAAATTTTACAATTATATCCTCCATTTTCTTCTTGTGAGTGCTTATTAAATTCTATGAACTGCAGTTGGCAAGCATTTAAGAACTTAAGACACAAATAAATCAGATAACGCTGACTGTTTCACGAACAATTTTGGTACAGACCTTGATTGAAACTGCTTTAAATGTAACTTTAGATACGCTTAAAGCAATAAAAGATTCACCAATTTAAGTGTAGTTAATCATATTGGGGAATACGCTTTTATTTCATATAGTAGTAGTTGTAAATTTTATTACCTTTCCATCACCCGTATATACAAAGGTAGGGGTTTTGATCCAAAAATTGGACAGCGAGTTTTCAGTGAATATACATGAACTAACTTTAACCCAACAAACGTACATGAATATGGCGGCTTCGCTAAAGTGGGAATTTTTTACCATTTTTTACCTAAGGGTCAACCTGTACACATAGAAAAGGGAAGTAATATTGTCCGTTAAAAAATTCGATAGTGAGTTTTCAGTAAATAAGCATGAATTAGGGTCTTCACAACACGTTTTTACTATTTTCACAATGATATCTGTCTGTCTGTGTATCTGTATATGTACGACAGTGTTTTCATCCACAATAACCCTTATATGAAACTTTCAAAAATTTATGTTTTCCGTAGCTTAAAGAGTTAATTAAATTTTGGGTAAAACTGAATAGTCGCAATTGCAGGAAGCCCATAATAATTTTTAATGGGCAACCGGAAATGGTATTTTATTGAAGCCCATAACAAGTTTAATGAAAAACTATGCAATCAAAAACTTTTCGGTTTTAGTATTTAAGACTTGAACGAGAATGTGAACAACGTATTAGGATAAAACTAGTAAAACTGGTAAAGGGAAATTGAAGCTCTGAATAGACTTTGGTAAAAATATATTATGAGATATTTCCAAAACTTCTCAAATTTGGTATTTAGAATAGGTATGTGTATTAGAATAGGTATCTATTAATGCTTATAAATATAAAATGTTTGAGATTAACATTTTATATTTACAAACATTAGCTGTATTCTTGGAAATATGCTAAATACGAGAATAAGCTCATTATGAAGACGAGCTCTCATTATAAAACAATATTATCACTACGCATTAGTTTTAAAGAAATAATATAGCAAATAAAAATAATACAGCGAATATAGAAGGAAACGTATGGCAACACTTAGCACTCTATCGGGGATTCTCAAGATATGTTTGTTCTCTTAAAAAATTTTGCGAGTATCCGCTCGTTGATTTGTAAATCCGGAACACTATATGGCTAGAGGATATTCTATGATCATTGCAATATTTTCAGATCAAAGTATAAGAACTGATGTGTACATGAGTATCATTATGTAGTTGTCATTGTCCATTGTATGGAGGCTACAATAATTAACATCTACAATAATTAACAATTAATATCTCTTTTTTACGAAATGATTCTTCCTTTCATATTTCGAAATTTAGGTTTACTCCAAATAAAATTCGCCAATTTTTATGACTTATTTTTAAAATTTGTGTTTTGAATAATTTTATAAATTTTTCGAAAAAACTTTTGAATTATAACCGATACAATTTTTGCCATCATTTTAAAGTAGGTGTATTTCTAAACATACCTGGAAAAATTAGAGTTTTGTATTCAAAATTTCCTAAGATATACGTAAATTTACATTTTGGCGCGTTTTGCCTTTTGGCAAAAGCGATAATAACGAAAATGTGGTTTGCGCGCTCAGTTAAAATTATTTGAAAGTATGAAAGATGGATTTTTCCCGTTCGTGGACAATGAAAAAAGTAACAAAATAGGTTGTTATAAATTAAAAAGTTCGCCAAGTGATTTATTCTTGGAGCAAACTGAAAAAATTCTCCAAGATAAATTTTTAAATTTCTTCATAAATGTCTCACCAAAAATTTCAAAGTTTAAAATCTAGGCATAATTTGAGTCGTAGAATCGCAATATGGAAAACATTTGGTAAGTTATTTCAGAAAAACTCAGATTTTGTGTCAAAATACCCATGTTAGGACAATGCTATGTATAAATCTAATATATATGCTAAGTCTCGCTTTCGAGACATGAAAAACGCAAGCTGAATTTCGTCAATCGGCCCAGTAGAACGGAAGATATAGAACTGTTCATTTTATTTATTTATTTATTTAATTTCGCAGTGTACCTTTATTATTAACCATTGCTAAAACATTTCACCTTTCTATAATGCCGTTACATTATTCAATACAAAGTGTTCATATAAGCTAAAGTTGTTATATACTAGGTAAACTTATATGATTACTTACATTTATATTTCAAATTAGAGAAACATTTCTTTTAAAAACTTATATATCTTTCTTTGTATATCATAATGTTTAAATATGGACTTGCTAGATGGCTTTGACCTGATACAACGCTTTTTATTAATACGATCCGTTAAATACTGCTTAAAATGGTAGAGGGCAATGTGAAGCATTCTGTTTAAGAAGGAATCTATCGCTATATCTCAAGTATGTAGATTAAACATTTTCTTTTATAGATTTTTTATTCTGTAAACTAAAACAGTGGAACAAACATTAAAGATGATGAAAGCTGATTTTATAAAAGCCGAAACGCATTAGCGAAATTTTGAAGTTTTTTATATAAAAGGGGAACTGAAGTTATGAATATTCAATAGAATATTAAAAATAATTTAAACAACGTTTTAATGGCATTAATAAAAACTTGGGGTAGTTTATAATATGCGTTTCAACAAAGACGCTTTTAGGAACTTCGCTGTCTAGAAAATGGTACAACTGCAATGTTTTACATGTTGAATGAAAACCATACAATATCTTTAAGCATGTAGTGATCCAACTTTTAGAGACTAAATAATTTAAGTATGGAAAAGCACAAATGGTGCAGAATTTTTTCTTGTAGTAAGAAACTTTGCTCAGGAAATTATTTGTTTAAAACTTCTAAGTGCGTTTTTTTATTTAAATCTTTATGTAACTTTACTAAAATTTTATTTAAAATAAGGTCTAAAATTTATTACTTTCATTACCTTTTTTTCCATAAAAATTACGAATTGTGTATAAAACCCAACTTAAAAAAAATGTGTGTTTTCTCCATTTTATTCATGTGAACTGCGCAAGTTAAACGTTTTCAGTATTTTCTTTATTAAGATAGAATGGAAGAAAAATCGATTTTGTTTAAGATAACGCTCTCTTACAACCAGATCTATTATGCTCAGCAACTGTTTGTAGAGGTGAAGAGAAGAAAGAAAAGCAGCTTTTATAGTAGTATAAAGAACATCAAGAATTACAAAATAAATATGTAATGAATGTTTGCAGAACGTGCTATTAAATAATAAAAGTTTCATAAATCATCTTCAATGAGTGTTTAATTTTGAGTGTTAATAAACATATTTTTACTGCATTAAGATAAATGATATTCTATTACATTTTGCATATAAATATAATTTCTTATTACTCATTATTTATCGCAATGCCAAAGAAAATTTATGAACTTTGTCTTGCTATATTATTGTTTCAAAAAGATGAGTTAAAATTCAAAAGAACTTACAGTAGGTGTATTCCTTCTAGGCAGCACATAACGGAATCTAGGTGGCAGTCGTCTCGTATTTTGAGATTCTGGTACCGTGTTCTCGTCTTCGGGAGGAACATCTGTAGCAAGAGTTGGTCTGAAGCGTCTAGAAAGTGTGTACGATGACCGCGAAAGAGTCTTTTCCAGAGACTGAGTTGGCCGGATGGATTGTCGATTAGGAAGACCGTCTGGGAGTTTGAAAGATGATTGGAGGACTGTGTTGGCATTCAATGGCTCGTCCGTTCGTCTTTCGGCTTGCTTACTATAATAGAAATATTATGTTTTTATTATATAGATAATTGAAATTTAAAATATTTCTCTGTCACTCATATGCAGCTATTATAAATTTAAAGAAGAACAAAATTTCAGAATTTATGATAGCATTATTAAACGCGGACATAAAAAATTCCAAATTTAATTAAAGGTATGAGGAATATTATATTTTTACATTTTTGAAATAATTATTTTATATTTTTCAAGCAAAAATAAATAAATAAATAACTAAAACAAAGTAAAATAATGTAATAAAATATAAATTAAATAAAAAAATAATATGAAATCGCAAATTTAAACAAAACTAATTATTACATGTAGTAGTTTGATACTTAATAAATAATTAAGGATGATTAATGTGTATGATTGCATGCATGTGCTAATAAAATCATAGCACATGTATGATTGCATGCATGTGCTAGTAAAATCATAGCACATATATGATTGCATGCATGTGCACATTTAACATTGTAATGTGCAGATTAACATGTGCATGTGCACATTTAACATTGTAATGTGCATATTAACATGTGCATGTGCAAATTTAACATTGTAATGTGAACATTGTGCATGTGCACATTTAACATTGTAATGTGTTGTAGCTAAATAAAAGTGTATGCATGTATAGCACATGTATGATTGCATGCATGTGCTAGTAAACTCATATATATGATTGCATGCATGTGCTAGTAAAATCAAAATTTAGAGTAGGACTAACAAGCACCAATACTTGCAAGTCTATAAAAAATTTAGCAGATTTATTGCAAATAAAGCCAGAACGCAACCTTATATGGTAACATGAAAGCTTAAAACGAATTGCATTCTTAATCCATGAAATTCCTTCTGCTAATGGTTTCTTTTATGTTATGGTATAATAAATTCACAAATTTGTTAGTCGTTTAATAGCAGCAATATCTATTATTCGTAATATAATTAGGAAGGAAAATGTTTCACTTTGAATTAATGACAAAACTTTCAGATTTTAGTAATTTATAAAGAAAAATTCATCCAGAAAGAAAGAAAAAAATAGTGTTTAGAAATGTCGTATAATTTTTGGATGGTAGCAATAATAATTCCGGAGGAAATGTCATAGTTCCCAAAACAACTGTAAAGTTCCAAATAGTGTCAAAGAGAATCGAAAGAAAATATACTAAAATACGATCATAAAACTGGTTCAAAAGCTTTATCCTATTGCTTTAGCAATGAAAGTCGAACTTAAAACAATTTTCGGAAAAACAAAATAAGTAATTCTCGTTTAAGCAACGAATTACAATTACTTTAAATTTTAAAATTATTTTAGATATATGAGTTAATGTAACGTCACCTAATTGTAAGATAAGTAATCTATATAACTGCTTGCGTTGAAGAAGACAGACACTCAAAGCTTATCGATTTTATTTGGAATAAAGCATGACCCGACAAAATAGCCCATGCCAAAACAGCCCCGACAAAGAAACTCGCGACAAATTGGCCTTCAAGAAAATAGCTAAATGCATCTGTAAACATCTTATTTCTAGCTTCAGTTTTAAAATCTTTTTATGTGACTATCGACTTTTTATATCAAGCGACGAAATTTACATCCAGCTTTCTTGTATCTAAAAATAAAAAAAATATTTTCTATATTTTACAATGTAAAGTCATGCGCAAGTGCCTTCGCCGAGATATTCGAACTTCGGACCTCCCGAGCACGAGTCGAATGTACTTCAAGTACACCAAGGCATGCAAAAAAGAAGGAGAAATTCTTCTTCTAAAGGCAGGTAAGGTCAGTAAAAACAAAAAATTCGGTGTTTATTCACACTCATATTTCAAGATAGTTGGATCATTACGATGCTTAGATATATTTTTAACCAAAACATGTAAATCTTCTGTAAATTATATACTTATAATAATTTAGAACATAGGCCAGAGCATACGAAACTTTTGTATGCTGTGGTAACTTGTATGTGAAGTTTATTGCTATGACACCGTACATGTCATACTGTATGACGCTAAATAATCCTACTATAATGATTGTGAAACATTTTTTAATAAGACAACACATGTAAATATGCTTAAACATAAGATTAAGGTTAATAATTTTTATAATGCGTTTGGGTGTAAGATGTAATCACTGATTTATGCATACGCCGTGGCACATTTTTATAGCGCTTGTATATATTTAGATACTAAAAATTTTAAAGTGCTCGCGGAACCTACTTCAAAAGTCTTTGATGTAGGCTATTTTGTCATGAGTTATTCTGTCATGTTCTACTCTGTTGGAGCTGTTTCGTCTTGGGCTATTTTAGCGGGATACCGGGATAACGCTTAGAAACCTCTTTAAGTAGAATTGAAATAATAATTTCCAGTTTCTGTTGAATGTTACTAGGTAAATTATCCTTATTCTTTAGAAACAATTTTATAGAAAACAAGGGTAGTCACTAAGAAGTTAAAAATTGGATTTAAGTGGAACGATTCGAGTTGCAGTTAGATAAATCTGTTGTCTATACAGTTAGATTGAGTCGACAATTAGCTAAATCTATGAATGTATTGTTTCTTTAACGTTTCTTTGATGAAATACAATTTACGAAGAACTGTTAATTCAAGATAGGAAAGGGATACGCCTCACTTACCCTTTCTCATTAAAGCGCATATCAAAATCCTTAAGATAATATTAGATTTAAATCAAATAATTCTGAGCTCAGCTTTCTCGTCAAACGTAAAAGCATTTAAAATGTGGTCTCCTTTTAAGGTCTGATGGAAACCATCAGCAGAAAACCTACTTTTTAACATCAGAAAAAATAACTCCCATGGTGGTGAACAGAATATGCGAGCATCACGATATAGACGTATCTGTGTTGACGGTTCTAAAATGAGAAATAAGATCTTGGATTCCTAAGAAGGACTCTTCAGAACAGTATTCGGCCTCAGTTAGCTTTAATAGAAGATAATGTATATGTAACGGTGAAACACCGAAATCTGGAGAATGTCGACTTTCACCGGTGAATGTCAACATTCACATAGTCTCTTAGTGTATGTCCGAAATATTTTCCAAATACTCTTATTTCTGACTTACACCGGTCAATGTCGACGTTCACCATGTACTAATAGTGAATGTTGAACGTATAACAATATTATATTTTCTTCTCCGTAATTCAGTCGCGAATAAACTTGAAATGAAACTTGAAATAAGAACTTAAGAACATGAGAACCTAAAACACACAATACATTCAAAATGAGAAAGGAAAATAATAGAAGTTAAAAACTTACTTAATTATACAGTACGTTCTAAATGAGAAAATAAAAATAACAGTAATAAAAAACTTACTAAATTATGTGATTCAAATCTTATTTATTGCAACAACTGAAACTATCATGGCACTTGATGAGCTCTCTTTTCGACTTTCCCCAGAGCATATCTGTGATTGTCGACATACACGAGTGAGAGTCCGAATATACAAGAATGTAGTGAAATATTCGGTCTTTCACCGACATATTTGGTGAATGTTGATATTCTCCGGTGAAAGTCGACATTCTCCAATTTCGGTCTTTCACGGTAATATATATATATCAGGAGGCTAGTAGATGCATTTTTAGAAAGTTATGATGTTCAAAGTATTATGTAGCTTCATAAGATTTCTGAACGTGACTTCTTTGCAGCTAACTTGGGATACTATTGTAAGATAACTCTTTTTTCAGAAGCCTTCAGGGTGAATAACGTTAACAGAAAATAGAATTTTAGGGGCAACTTTACTAAAACTGGAGTGTGGTACCTTTTGATTTACCTTTGAATTCCATGTTTAAGATTACGTACAAAAATAATAGTATTTTCTTTGACAATTTAGCCGTTTATTGCTATTAAACCGAATCAAATTTCCGTCTACTTAACGAATAACAATCGACAAAAACTTCAATCAAAATTATTTGAGAGGCTTATTAAAGCATTATGTTTTAAAGAAAATAATTAATATGAGTTGCAGGAATTTTAATTTTGTTGGAATCGCATAACATATAATATTAGGAGTGTCACCTTCATACCCGCATTTGCGCGTAATTTTTTGATAAAAACTACTGAATGTATATATATATAGAGAGAGAGAGAGTGTGAGAGAGAGAATATATATTAAAATATATGTATGTAAGTAAAGTCTAATATCCCTATCCACTTTGGATACTTTGGACAGAATTTCTGACTCACGTTATAAGAAATAATGCACAAAACACGGAAAGGAATTTTTTTTAAAAAAAAGAACATTTAGCATTGTGCAGATTTTGGAGATAGAAGAGCAAAGTGTACAGACAATAGAGTATTGCTTAGGGACGAAATTGAGAAACCGTTCGGCAACAAACCGAGTTACAATATGACAAAAGGATGAGGCTCTGTTTCACTAGAAGAATTAAGTTCGATTATTTTAGACTTTTATACTTGAAAAAGTATAATAGCTAATTACAAATGAATTTTCTCGTTATAAGTAGAAATATCGCAAGATGAAAATCATAGATAAGATGAGAGGTAGGTATTATTATTATTATTATTATTATTATTTGTTTAGCATGAAGTAATAATTCCTGGAATTAAATTCCCTTAAGAAACACAATGAGATAAAAAAGTGTTCGATAATTTAGGGTAAGTTCTCTATATGAAGGAAATAATCTTGCGAGCAAAACTGACTTATCGAGTATTGTCTAATACGTCTACTGTCAGTTTATACGGAATAACAGTGAAGGAAGCTTTTGCAAAAGCATTCCGACAATTCAGAAATGAATATCTTTTGTCTCTAAGCAATATAATATTGTGAATGCTGATACATATCTCAGAACAACTCAGAGAACTTTTAAATTCATAACATTTTCTCTTTACGGCAAACTAAAAATTAAACCGTACGATGCTGTAACTAAAATTAAATCGAAAGCCCATAATCTGAAAATACCGAATACATTATGCTGTTCAATACATTGTTCTTCTAGAAACGGATTAGTTTGCAGATTTATATAAGTGTTCATAATGGGCAATTTCTGTGAATAAGATAACATATCGAAGTAACATTCAAGGTATTCAAAATCTGAAAAAATGCAAACAAGGAAACTTTCTGGTTTATTTTTATAGAAATTGTCGCTAATGTTTACAAAAGTATCCATTGGAAAGAAAGAAAGTTTCTAAATAACATGCATTGTTTGCTATTTTACAGAATGTACTTTTCAGATTTATCTATCATTCGAGATTTTTCAATGAATACATTCAGCATCCTTTTCATATACATGTATAACCTATAATAGATAAATGCTTCAATTTAAACTTGTTTTTAAATTTTTGCTGCATGTTTTTATTTATGTAAATTTGTTTCACATTTTTACATAGTTTATATGAATAAATAAAATATTTCTGCATAATAGAAGGAGAAGAGGGTAGCTCATTTCATGCATAGAAAGCAGGATGGTCAACAATAAAATTGTGCAATTCAGTGATCGATCATCATCATTGTGTAACTGTGCCGAAAAGGAACTTCAGTAATTAAATTTGCTAAATAGTGGTTTTCTACGTTATAATGATATTAATTTAACATAAAAATTTTGTAACGTTCTAGAAAATGTAAGGTCCTAAGGAGAAAATATTATGCATTTTTCGAAATATATCTACATTGTTTCTGTCAAAATTAACATCAAAATAAAACTGAAAACTTTACTACTTAACAGATTCACGTACTTTACCTATATTTAATCACTCTTCAATACTTTACCTGTCAGGTGTCGTAGATTTGTATTCCTTTGTAACTCCTCCAACAGTGGGCCTATATCTACTTGACTGCTGTTCTCCAAGGATTTTATTTGGCTTGCTTGGAACAGGACGACTACTTGTAACAGCTACAGTTGCCGATTTTTGAAAGATGGGCTTTGTTGGACTGGGTTTCGGAGTAGATAGATCTTCAGGCTTTGCAGGGAAGATGATCTGGGATGTACTTTGCAAAATTTGAGCGTACTTTCCTTCGATGTAAGTTCCGATGACTTTGGTTTCGAAGACGGTTGTAGCTCCATCTTTGACGTGTGTCCCACCCAGAACTGTGACCAGGCCTGTGGGGTACTGAGGCAGTGCAGGTGTGGATCCGGGTTTCTGTAGATTCTGCTCCGGTTCATCATTCCTTGGAGAGTGAGGAGTGGTACCCAATTCACTAAAACCTGGCTTCAGATGCCTAAAAATAAATGTTTTGTTTATTCTTGTGTTATTAATCAATTGTTAAAGACCAAAATTTATTTGACTTTTCCTTTTCCATTTTTCATTGATGTGGCTCACTTCAAAAGCATGAACATTGATTTAGGATGAAATAACCAGGTAAGATGAGTCAGTCACTTAAAACGTTGAAGCACTGCCTTAAAATGCAGCAACTACAATAGATTGGTGCTGAACTCTAACATTGCATAAAACAGACATAGTGTGAATCATCAAAAACAACCAGTATTTGTACATGATAAGTTTTCGCAAGCATTCCTTAAGTGTTCAGATTATAGCATTATTAATTTTCTCCTCGGAAAATTTTGCTTCATTTGAAGGCAACAATTTTTAGCAGATCACTCATTCAATAATTTAAATGCTAAATTTGAAGGTAAATTCGGAAATTCAAGTATTTGTATTCGAAACTAATTATTTGGTATTGGTTCAGAAAGAATATTGGAGCTTAAGTATAATAGAATAGGTGCAATATTTGTGATTCAGAGTTTCATTAAATTGCACTGTAACACTAAACATTTAAAGTGTCCTCGCTTATTAAAATAATTTCCATTCCATCGCATTAAAGTTTATTAAGCAGATGTGTTTAATAAACGGCGATTTATGTATTCCAAACAGTGATTATTAGGTTTAAATTTTTAAATAAAATGCTAACTAACAATTAATTCAGTAATTGATCAAATAATAACCAAAAATTATTACTAAAATTAAACTATTTATGCAATTTTAAATTCATTTTTAAATGTTCTATAAAGATATTTTTATAGTTATGTTCTTGACTAACTTTTATCTTTTACAAACAATTATGCTTTCTGCAATTATTTAATAATTTTCAACAATGGTGTTTCAATTGCATTCTCAAATATCTTAAAATTTCTGATAGTTTTTATCACCAGCACGTTTCAGTTCAAGATTTTTCTTAACATTTGCATTGTTTCTCTAGATTTGATTGATGATGACATGTCACCACAATTTTCTACCTATTTTTCTAAATAGCATCCCTTTATAAGTTCTTTATTAATTAGAATTCCTTGTTTAAGTAAATTTCACAATGCTGTCTGAAAAATTCCCAGCATAAATGCTGTTTTTCTCTGGCTGCAATTACTAAGAATACTAAATTTATTTTAAATAAATACGTTTTCTTTCAGACTTAAGTCTTTTCTCTTGACATTTCAACAAATTACACACAAAACTGCTTCTTCCAGAGATTTATTCAATTTCAAAGTTTACGTTTCTAGCCAGCAGAAAGATTGCCGTTTGAATGTTTAGTCGAAGTGCCACTTCATGATTACAAGAATGGCCAGAACTTTTATTGATTTTTCTTAATGCCCAGCAATGGCCCAGCACGGATATCCATCGCAATACCGGACAGATATGCAACTTTTTATGATTATGTAGGTACACCTTGCACCAAAAAATTAGTTCTATATATCCTGTTGTAGGGAATCAATTGATGAAATTAAACTTGCGTTTTCCATTCTCCGAAAGCGCAATCTAGGATATATATTAGATTTATATGTAGCATTGTTCTAACATAGGTATTCTGTGACAAAATAAATTTTTTTCTGAAATGATTTACCTATATTTTTTCCCATATTTCCATTGTAGAATTCAAATTATGCCAAAGTGCCAAGTTTTGAAAAAATCGCACGAGTAGTTTTTAAAAAATCAGCTCGCTAAATTTTAGCTGCTCAGTATAAATTGAATTTGGCATATTTTTATTAATATCTCCCTTTTATTAAACTCACTTGTTTCCTTCTTTCACAGTTCGAAGTTTAGGTTCAATCCAAATAAAATTTGCAGATATTTTCTGACTTATTTTTTAACGTATTTTAAGTAATTTTTATAAATTTTTCAAAAATATTTTATTTATGACCTATAATATTTTTACTATCACCATAGTCGTATTTCTAGGCATACCCGCAAAAAATTGAATATTTTTATTCAAAATTTTCAAAGATATATGAGAATTTATATATTGGCGCGTTTGGAAATTTGGCACATTTGTTATGTGATAATAATGCACTTTGTTAAAATTATTTGAAAGAATGAACGATGTACCTTTTTTCAACTCGTGCATAATGAAAAAAAGGGAAAGGAAAATATGTTGCTATAAACTAAAAATTTCGCCCAGTGAATTATTCTTGGCGCAAACTGAAATTTAAAAAAAAAATTTTTTCATTTTTCATTTTTTCATTTATTTAAAATTTTTGATTTAATTTTTTAAAGTTTCTCACAAAGCTTTGCAGAATTTAATATTTCGGCATAATTCTAGTCGTAGAATCGAAATATGAAAAAAAATCAGTATGAGATTTCAGAAAACTCCGATTTTGTGTTAAAATAACTAACGTTAAAACAATGCTATATATAAGTCTAATGTATATACTAAGTCGCGTTTCGAGACATGAAAAATAAAAGTTAAATTTCGTCAGTTGGTCCAGTAGAACGGGAGATATAAAATTGTCCCTTTATTTATTTATTTTTACATATTTATTTATTAATTCAAAGGGGCTTCGTCCCTGAAGGACTATTGTTTTCGTTTTGCGATTTTGCGTCGATTCACTACAAAATGGCGAATCGCTTTTCAAACTGTTGCCACAAAGTTTTATTGCCCTGTGTTATATTTAAAGAAATTAAATAAGGAAAAATCTGCATAAATGTATGTAACAATCTGCATAAATGTATGCATTGTGATAAAACAACGGTATCTAGACCCATCCAATGTTGAATGAGGTAATCCTCCTACGAATATGGCCATGTGGAAGAACAAATTTGAAATTTGGAATTTGTTTTAATATCGATTTCCTATTTTGTAAAACTTGAACGAATTTTTGATTAAGAAACTCAAGGATTTCAAAGCGAGCAATAGCAACGCTGTACAGAAAAAACATTTTGATCTCCAGCGCGTGAGTCTCTGTATCGTAAATTCTAAAGGTATGCTCATTTTAAAACTATTTTGCGATATTTGCTGTTGAACTGAATTTTATTGTTTAAGTGCGAAGAACGTGATATTTAATAAATAAATGTAACATACAAAATGTAAAAAAAAACCGCCCCTTTGAACGTAATTTAAAATCTGAAATATTTCAGACTTTCTTTTTTTTTATTTATTTCTTTTTGTGTGTTTTGTGAAAAGTGTACCTTTACGCACCCGGCTGGGTAGCTAAACCATTGGGCCTTAATAATCTTAACAAGCCTTTAATACTTGATAAAGAATCTGTCTATTTCCAGCCGTCTGAGTACACGCCTTCGAGAATCAAAGTGGAAGAAATAAAATAGTTCAAAAGTTACCTAAATGCATTCGACAAAGAATAAAACAGGAGAAATATCGCTAATGTACACAGCATTAATAATCAGCAGCACATATGTGAGCTTATGTTACACTTGCAGACTGTTCACAATTCCTTTACAGATGAGGACAGCTCCTTTGATATATACCATCAGTTACTAATCATCGGTGCTGTCAGTGATAATAATATTAAAAAATTATTATATTCTAATAATATTCATAAAATTACATACAAGTAGCCATACTTAACAGCAGTATTACTCAAGGGCACAAATGATGATGAGGAAATACTAGCTAAATATATATTCATAAACACAATGTTATGACAAAACAGTTATGTACAACAGTTAGAGATAAATGGTAATAGAGTTCTTACCAAATAATATTTATATGAAGCATTACTATTGGTATCGTAACTGACAATAATGCTATAAAGTGGCTTATACATACGAGTTTTGACATTATTAGTCATGTAGATACCGAAAGATATGGTGTCAAAAATTAGATTTTGATTATATAGTCTTTCTATTTTCAGTCTTAAGTAGATCAAAAATTAAGAATGTAACAGCAGTAGTATATTAGCCTTTTCAGTTAATTCGTATTACTTAAAATATATTTATATAATTAAGAGAATAACAGCAATGAAGTTTACAAAGGCATTCACATTATTTATAACGCATACTGCTTGCATTATTTGTAATGTATACAATGGGCATTACCTATGTTTATGTAGGAAATTAGTTAGTTTGCCATTTGCAAGTATAGGCATCTATAAAAACGTTAACAAATATGTGAATGTAAGATAATGTAGGCTTAAGATCTGATTTATGCAATCAGACAGAAAAAAATTTTAAAAAGTAAATTTGAAAAAACTGAAATGCTTGAAATTAAAAAAAGAATTACACAATTTATTTTTATAACTAAAAATAAATTTTTATGGGTTAATAATAATTTAAAAACCTTGATTCGAATCTCGGAGAAGGTGAGACGTTTGTAAGTCTACGACAGTTAAAATACTCTCTGGCATAAAAAAGAAAAAATGCTTTCTTGAGATGATGGTGGAAGAGAAAAAGGAATGGGAGATTTTCGGACTCGTTCTCGCGGATACTTCTTCAAAACTGGAGAGCAGCTGGGTTAATTCATATCTGAAATGTGCTCAAAGCTTAAGTCAAAGACAAGCGTAACTCTTAATACCTGACGACGATAAAATTAGTGGACTTGATGTGATATTGCTGTCAGGAAAGTGAGATAAGTCGCAACAATTGTAAATTTAATTTTCTAATGTTTCTGTATATTCAGTAATGTTAGAACACGCTATTATTATAATACACGGTTTATTAAACAAGGTCAGAAAATTACAATGAATTATATTAAATATTGTTTTGTAAATAGAAACAACATCCAGAAATCAAACTCCGCCATTTATGTTATTTAAAAAAGAAATCTAATTTTCAAAATTAGTTTTCTCATATTATCGTCTGCTGTATATTGCAAAGTAAAGTTTCAAAATTTACCCCAGGTTCTTTTTTTTGCATAATTTAAAACTACTAAAAATTTAAACGATTGTATCGCACATGTAAAGGATCTGGCTAGAAAAGCTTTCAACACTCAGTAACTCTAATCAGAAAAAAAAAAAATTATATTTTCTTCCGTTTTTGGAGATACTGCAGATTAAA